GGAACAACCTGGCCTGTTTTCTCTGTAATCCTGGCATAATGCCTAGCAGTTGTAGCTAGGCTCATATGTTTTTTTGTTTCTTTGTTTTTTTGTTTGTTTGTTTTTTAGTGCCGGGGATCAAAGTTGGATCCCTGCGCTTGTAAGGCAGATGGTGGAACCACTGAGCTAAGTCCCCAGCCCTCTTTGATTGTTTTTGAGATGGGGTCTTCCTCTGTAGTTCAGGCTGATCTTGAACTCTATGTAGTCTAAGCTACCTTTGAACTCCTGGCGATCCTCCTGCTTCAGCCTCCCTGGTGCTCATTTATAGGCATGAGCTACCATGTCTGGCCTCATATATTTGTTGAATAAATGAAGTAAACAAATGATATTTTTTAATACCTTATAGATTGGTAGCACAATTTAAAGATTCATTATGCCTATAGTTAAAAACGGCATGGTTAAAGCACAGTTTCTAGTAGGGTTGTCAGTTGATACAATCTGTTTACAAAGCAGTTCATCCAGGTGTAGTGATGCACACCTCTAATCCCAGCCCTGGAGAGGCTGAAGCAGGAGGATTGCTAGGAGTTCGAGGTCATCGTAGGCTACGTAGTGAAATGAAGACCAGCCTGAGAAACGTAGACCCTGTCTCAAAACAAAAGTAAACACATGGCTAGGGATTTAGCTCAGTGGCACCGTACCTGCCTTGCAAATACAAGGTCCCGAGTTTGATCTTTGGTACCAAAAAAACAAAACAAAACAAAAAAATCCACACATACCTATGATTATCTCCTAAGAATTCTATTTGTTTATTTTAGAGGAATAAAATTATTTTAAAAATTATTATTGCTTTTGTGGGGTGCTGAGGGTCAACTACAGGGTACTGTGCTTGCTAGACAAGTGTTATATCAGTGAGCTACTTTTTCATCCAGAGAAATTGGTGGCTCTATTCTGTATTTAGGCTCCCTGTCCCCACTTTTGAGATGGAGTCACTGTGTTGTCCAGGCTGGCCTCGAAAACTGCTGGACTTAAGTGATCCTCCTGTCTCACCTTCCCAAGGGAGCTGGGCTTATAGGTGCATGCCACAGCACCTGTTTTATGTTTTGGGAAAACCAAAACTATCACATTATAAATGTTTGGAAAATATATGTGTTTATAAGAATAGCCAAAACAATAACTGGGCATAGTGCACACTCAGCACTTGGGAGGCTGAGGCAGGAGGATCACTGAGAGTTTGGGGCCAGCCTGGGCTACCTAGAGAGTTCAAGGCCAGCCTGAACTACACAGTGAGACCCTGTCTCAAAAAAAAAAAAAAAAGTTGTAATAACTATTGACTCTTACTTTGGATAAATTAGAGGTTCCCGTTTACCTTACGCAGTTGTTGATTGTTGATGTTGATGGTGTCTTCTAGCCACACATGAATATGGCAGTGTAACTTTCAGGAGTGAGGAAAATGGAGTGATCATTTTGAATTTGGAAGGGCGCATATTAACCACAAAGGAAAATACTTTTGGCCTTCCAGAAGGGACAGTTTGGTAGTAAACTCCAAGGCTGAATTAAACATGTTATATAGAACCCCCAGTCCTAGCCAGGCGTGGTGGCCCACGCCTGTAATCCCAGCCCTCGGGAGGCTGAGGCAGGAGGATCACTTTGAGATCGAGACCAGCCTGGGCTGCTTAGTTCCAGGGCAGTCTCAACTACATAGTGAGGGCCTGTCTCAAAAAAAAAAAAAAAAAAAAAAAAAACACAAAAAGACAGAACCCCCAATGCTCTAGTATATATCATCACCCCTTTCCTCCCACATTTTATTTCGAAAAATGTTAAACATAAAAAGATATGATGAACATCTATCTGCCTTTTGCCCAGATGTACCAGCTTGTAGCAATGTTTGCTGTAATTGCTGCTCAGCTCTTCTTCATTTCTTCCTGTCCCTCACTCCCCTCCATGTTTTTGTGTGCGAGTGAGCTTATTTTTACTGATTTTAAAGATTTTATTTTCTCCTGGCGCTTGGGGTGGTACGGAATATCCTATTTTTCCCAAATATTTGTCCAGTGGTTTAGCATTTATTGGTGTCTCTTGCCTGTTACTACTACAGTGGTTGCCAGTATGTGACTTACTAATTTTTTTGTTTCTTCTACATTTGTTAGTTGTCACACTGATACAAAGAAAGCCGTTTATTTTTTTTTTTATTGTTAGGTTCTCAGATTTTTTTTTTTAATCTTCCATTCTTGTTCATTTTTTGCTCAAATGTTTTAAAATGTGAACAGTAGCCCATTTTAGGCTTACTGTGCCATTTTGATATGTCTGCACCTGTTTTTGAGTGCTCTCAACTGGCACAGGCTCACGTTGTAACTTCCTGGCTGTGTCCTGGAATGAGCTGTTTCTCCAGGTAGTCCTTTCTCTTTACGGTGGGCGGTGACATTAGAAATCACAGTGCCAGTGCTGGAGTCTTCCTTCCTGTTGAATGTCACTGCTTCCAGATCAGTGAGGGTGAACCTTTTAGAGCTTTTGACAATAAACATAGCCCGCTGAGGCATGTGTGCCGAGACTTCACCACCTAGGTAGTTTGAGCTGATAGAGCTACGAGTCTGTATTCGCATCATAGAAGTTTTTCTCCTTGCTTTATGTGAAATTGATCCTTTCCTTCTCTCATAGCCAGATCTTTGCTCTCTCATTTACTTCTCATTTCCTCTGTCAGCAGCAGTGAATTTGCTACCCCATCGTCACCAACGCCAAATCTACAAAGTTGAAGATTTCGGGTTTTTGTGCCCATTGAGAATGGTTTATAATGTGTAGTGTCAGTTTAACATAAGTACTTCATGGGTACTTAAAACAATTCACATTAAGTAATTAAAATTTTAGATAATGCTCAACTTGCTTATTTTCTTTTAGAAATATTTAACTTAGTCATCCCATATATTTTGTTGTGATACAGCAGTTGGCTAATTTTAACTGAATCCTATTTCTATATAATAGTTGCAGATACCCTGAGGGTTATTCTATAAAATAGTTTTGCCTGGTCAGCAGAGATGTGCCTCAGACGGGCTCACACTTAAATTTAATGTTAATTTTAGTGGAGCACAGATGAGTGGAATTATTGGTTTGGGGAAAACTTTATTTTAGGTAGCGATACATTGATGATCAGAGACATAGGAGGAAAAAAGTAGTTTGAGACACAAATAAGTCAGATCAGAAAAATAGAGTATGAGAGCTACAACTGGGATATTTTTAGAAGCAGTTAATTTAGTTTTTAGCTTTCTGCCAGCCTTATTAAAACGAAATCTCAGTTGGATGCCTTCCATTACTCACAGAAAGAAACAAAATGTCTTCATCATTAAATCGTGAAAGGATTTTTATTCTGGGAATTGTGATTTTCTTTTGCAGCACATATACAACTAGTCCCTCCTTTCCTTTCCTCTCTCCTCCTCCTCCCTTCTCACCCTCCCTCCCTCTCTCTGTCTCTCCCCTCCCTTCTTTCCCTCCTTTCTTTGCTTTCTTTGGTCAAACCCAGGCTGGCAGTTGTTACAGGCCCAAGAAGCAGTCCTCCTGCCTCAGTCCCAAAGTAGCTGGGACCACAGGCACATTATCATGCCTGGCTCATACAGATCTTCTTAAACGATTATTTTAGTGCTATTGAATACATAACATTAAATCATATACTTTTCTAAAAAATGGTAGGAGCTGAACCTAGGGCCTGATACACTCATTCTACCTCTGAGCTGCATCCCCAGCTGAGGATCTTTCAGAATTTGAATTTAGGCAGTTTATGCATACTGGTGGTTAACATGTCCCTTATGACTGTTCATGTCTGTATTGACAGCACAATAGTTCAAGAGACCTAACTGCAGCTTGATAGTTAGTAACAAGAATTTATTAATCAGCCTAAATGTGCTGGATGGAGGATAGTTATTCTTTGGTTTTAGTCTCTGCCTACTGTAAAGTATAGATGTTTTATGCTATTAATTAAAGAATACTTTTTATGGTTCTGCTTTTAGGGTACTAAATACTAAGAAAACCAAAGAAACCACTCAATATACCCGAAATAGGTAATGTTCTTATCTAAGTTTATTAGAATATCATGCAAACAAGAAAAACTTGAATATACATTAGACACCCTTAAAACATTCTGCATCCTACCCCATTAAATTGCTTTACTTGCATGATACTAAATTGTGCAAATCAGGAAGTTTTTGTTTTTGCTTGTTAGTTTTCACTGTTTGACCTGCTGATAGAAATCCTCAAGAGTATATTGATTTTGCCACCCATTCTCTTTTTATAATTATGGCTATCTTGTTGTACACACCTGTCATCTCAGTGCGTGGGAGGCTAAAACAGGAGATTCACCATACGTTCAAGGCCAGCCTGAATTACGGAGCAAGACTGTCTCAACCCCCCCCCCCCCCCCGAGCTGGATGTGATGGCACACGTCTGTACATAACCCCAGCCCTCACGAAGCTGAGGCAGGAGGATTGCCTCGAGTTCAAGGCCAGCCTGGGCTGCTTAGTGAGTTTGAGGGCAGCCCGAACTACGTAGCGAGACCCTGTCTTTAAAAAAAAAAAAAGGTTATCTTGATTGGCTTTAATTCTCTGACATGGTTTCAAATTGTAGGCTAGAAATGATACGTGAAAATAATTTGATTTTTCCTTTTGGCCTTCGGTACCACTTGTTTTTTTATTTTATTTAAAAATTTATTTTATTTTATTTTTTGCTACCGGGGATTGAACTCAGGTCTGTGTGTTTGTGAGGCAGGCGGCGGAACCACAGAGCTAAATCCCTGGCCCAGGACTTGTTTTTTTTAAACACAGTCGTAACACATGGTTTAATCTACCTGTACATATAATAATCCCTCCTGTCAAGGTTTGACAACTTTTTCATCATTGTCTATTTAACCAAAAGTCCCTGCTGCTATAAGCTATTTCCTTTGATTTTTTTCTAGTGAAACTACAATGATTACAGAAATGGCACTCCTATATTTTTATGAGTGCAGAAAAAGTACCCTTGCATTTTCCCCTTATTCTAAGTTTATCAGCAGTTTTTAGTTACAGTTATTAATCTAAATTAATGTTAGATTCTATCACTGAATACCTCAATCTAGCCATTTATGTTGTTATTGATTGAGATATTAGTATATTTCGAGTAAAAATATCATTTTTAAGGAAACCTAAAGCAACAACAAAGCTGAGGTCAAACTGCCATAAGGGTGAAAGTCAGGGAAGTTGTTTGGGACAAAAAGAAATCAAGATAAGAAAACTACGAAGTAGAGAAAAAGAAAAGTTGAGGGGGTGAACAAGTGGGAATGTTTTGTATGTCGCTAAGGGCAAAGAATAGGTAGATTTGTGAAGCGGAAGCAGGGAGACCTTATAGGAAATATTGAAGATTGGGATTCTTTAAATGCTCCTTTTCCTCTCAGTGTACATCTTTCGCTGATTTTCAGCTGGCAGAATACTTGGAAAATGGATAAACTCATTCCCATGATTCCAGTTGCTTGGGAGGCAGAGGTGGAAAGATACCACAAGTTGGAGCCTAGAGTGGGCAATTTAGGGAGGTTCTATCCCAAAATACATAGAGGAAGGGGTAGGGCGGCTCGGGATGTAGCTCAGTGGTCAGTCTCTCCTGACTTCAGCCCCTCATAGAGCCGCACACATACACACAGTTGACAAGGCTGGGTCACTGCTCCAGCTCCGTGGTAGAGTACTCGACCACTGCACACCACAAGAAATTAAAGACAAAAGCCTGAGGAGGGTACATGATTCAGTGAGGGATGGCTTCTCTATTCTGGACTGGAATCTTTTCTCTGTGTAGTCATAGAAGACTGTTGGTAGTGATAAAGGCCTTACCAAAGGCAACTTCAGCGTGAATACCTGTTATTACTTGGAAGGTGAGAGGGAATCTGATTCAGGAATTAACCTGACAAAATCAGTATATAAAATTAAATTTTCTGTTTTTGGTGTCATATGAAGATTGTTTTTCTCTTCATAGCAACATGAACCTTGAAGACCGGAATGTGCTGCGTATGAAAGAAAGGGAAAGGCGGAATCAGGAAATTCAGCAGGGTGAAGACGCCTTCCCACCTAGCTCTCCTCTCTTTGCTGAGCCGTACAAAGTTGTAAGTTGTCCTTCTTTGAATTTTTCCCATCTATGTCACACTTTGGTTTTTAAAATGTTTTTGTTTGTTTATTTTTTTGGTTTTTGAGACAGGGTCTCACTATGTAGTTGAGACTGACCTGGAACTCAGTATGTGGCCCAAGCTAGTCTCGAACTCACGGCGATCCTCCTGCCTCAGCCTCCTGAGTGCTGGGATTACAGGCATGTGCCACCATGCCTGGCTTAAAATGTTTTTAGATTTTCACTTTTTTCTTAGAAAAAGTTATCATGGATACCATTTAATATTTTTTCTTTTCTTCTAAATAGAACACACTTTTTTGGGTAAGCTTTTTGGGAATATAAATGGGCACATATCAAACTACACAAAATAAGTGTTTTGCCTTAAAGAGTAATGTTTTACTATATGAACAACTTCAGAAAACAAGTGTTCAGTTCAAGAAGTAGAGCATCACCTGTACCCTGGAAGTCTTTTGTCCTGTACTCTTAAAAATGGGATCTGAGCCAGGCATGGTGGTGCACACCTGTAATCTGGCACTCAGAGGCTGAGGCAGGAGGATCACTGTGAGTTTGAGACCAGCCTGGGCTACATAGTGAGTTCCAGGTCAGTCTCAACTACATAGTGAGACCCTGTCTCAAAAAACCAAAAAAAAAGGAATCTGGCTGGGGGTTTAACTCAGTGTTTCCTCCGCCTGCCTCGCAAACACAAGGACCTGAGTTCAATTCCTGGTACCAAAAAAATGGAATCTGCATTGGCTGAAGTCATCTCTTTACTCCTGGCTGTACACTTTAAAGACATTTCACCTTTAAGTTAAAGCCTTTAGTTACTTCCTAGGTGTTCTTTGGCTGTAATATCAATCAGAGATGACTATTTTATAGATACTTTTACTTCTTCATATATCTTGCCGTTAGCTTAGTTTACTAGGTTTCATTAATTTTTTGTATGTTTGAGTAAACATATCTTCACTATAAGTTGGGTTCTTTTTCTGTTATCATAGACTAAATTCTCTTGATTTTCCTTCTCATTCATTTAGTACTTTAACTATCACATTTATATTTAAGTTGTCAGAATGTTCTATGAATTGAATCAATTACAGTTTTTATTATTACTGTATCTGATTTGAGATTGCACAGAAAAGGGAATAGTACCATTTCTAATGACTAATATAACTTGTGACAGATTTGACTTTTTATTGCATTTCAGGTGTTTGTGTTTGTGTATTTGTGTGTGTGTGTGTGCGTGTGTGTGTGTGTGTGTGTGTGTGTGTGTGTGTGTGTGTGTGTTTTAACCTGAGACAGGGTCTCACTATGTAGTTCAGACTGCCCTGGAACTCACTATGTATCCCAGCCAGGCTGGTCTTGAACTCACAGCCATCCTCCTGCCTCAGCCTCCCGTGTGCTGGGATTATAGGCGTGTGCCACCATGCCTGCTAGGTGTTTTACATTTTAAAGCCTTTTGCTATGTTTAATAGCAATAGCTCTAGTTTAGCAGTAGTGATCATTGTTGGTTTATCATATGAGATTGAGAAGGTGTTACACATTTTTTCCTGATGGGATATTAAAAGTGACACAGCCTCATTGTAGCCCGATAACATTTAGTGTTTATGGAAGCAGTGTTCACTGTTGAAGACATTTGTACAGAGCTTTTAAGAACTTTGCAATTTATTTTCTTATTTGTTTATTTTTTTGGTACTGGTGATCAAACTTGGGACCTTACACTTGTGAGGCAGGTGGTGGCACCACTGAGCTAAATTCCTGGCCCAAGAACTTTCCAGTTTAAAGGCAGTCATACCGGTATCATTTATGTGAATGTAATATAAAACTTGGAATTAAGAATTTGGGGTTGAGGATTAAATTAGAGATTAAAGACATTGAAAAAATAGACGCTTTCCCCCAGAATTTTTTTTTTTTTTTTGGTACCAGAGATTGAGGTTGAGACCTTGCGTTTGCCATGCAGGCATAGTGCCACTGAGCTACATCCCTGGCCTTTACCCAGAATCTTTGAATTGTACTATCGTTTATTTTATAATTGCGCTGTAATAATTGGATTTATTTTCTGATTGTGATATCTGTAATACTTCTCGGACATATTTTTTGAACAATGTAAAATCATTTTTGGTATTTGCCAATCTCAAAATAGTGATAGTTCAGTTTTTATTTCTTTTTACTTAGTAAATGTCTATGTGTATCAATGTGGAAGAGTCCTAATGCTTCTAGATGTTTTGGACCTTCGTATTTCCCAAGAATGACTTTTGAAACTTGAAGTAGTCAGAATTTATTAGTCAAAGTTAATTGCCAGGATGTAAACCTTCATCAATAAGTTCTTCATGCTTAATTTTAAGGCTTTCATTAACTGGTGAGTTACAGCAGCAAAAGTAATTAAAATTGAACTGTTGGTTGTAACTTGTTTCACTAAATTGTTTGTATTTCTAACTATGTTATTGAATTATAAGGGATATAGTGCTTTTATAGACTATCAATATATGAGTTAGGTAATCTGCTGGTCTGGAGCTTATTAAATAATGGCTGATTACTTTTCTGCTTTTCAAAAAACTGGTCCTGAATGTTTATTATTGAAATTTGTATTTTTTTCTCTCCTGGAACCTACCATATGTATTTTTAGTGTCCTGTAGAGTATTTGTATTTTACCGTGATTATTTTCAGATACTTTTGGTGTTTTTTTTCACCATAAAAATTAGATATTTAGAGCTTGCTTGTAGATACTAACTTTAAGATTTGAGGGGAAGAAGACTCCCTTAGAAAAGTCCCTTTTCCATTTGAAGGTTAGCTAGAAGCATATCTTATTTCTGATTATGCTAATAGAGTAATTTTATTTTGTCTTTTTTGTAGACAAGCAAAGAAGATAAGTTATCAAGTCGTATTCAGAGTATGCTGGGAAACTACGAAGAAATGAAAGATTTCATAGGAGACAGAGCTATACCAAAGCTTGTTGCAATCCCCAAGCCTACACTACCAACAACAGATGATGAAAAATCAAAGCCAAATTTCTTTGAACAGAGACATGGAAGTTCTCATCAGAGTAGCAAATGGACCCCTGTAGGACCTGCCCCAGGTACTTCTCAGTCTCAGAAGCGGTCCTCAGGCTTACAGAGTGGACATAGTAGCCAGAGGACAAGCGCAAGTGGTAGCAGTAGCTCTAACAGTAGTGGCCAGAGGCATGACCGTGACTCGTATGGCAGCAGCCGGAAGAAAGGCCAGCATGGATCAGAACACTCCAAATCACGATCTTCTAGCCCTGGAAAACCCCAGGCTGTTTCTTCATTAAGTTCCAGTCATTCCAGATCTCATGGGAGTGATCACCATGGCAAGGAACATCAACGTTCCAAATCACCCCGAGACCCTGATGCCAATTGGGATTCTCCTTCCCGCGTACCCTTTTCAAGTGGGCAGCACTCAAATCAGTCTTTCCCACCTTCGTTGATATCAAAATCCAGTTCAATGTTACAGAAACCCACTGCCTATGTGCGGCCAATGGATGGGCAGGAGTCCATGGAACCAAAGCTGTCCTCTGAGCACTACAGCAGCCAGTCCCATAGCAACAGCATGACTGAGCTAAAGCCCAGCAGCAAAGCACATCTCACCAAGTTGAAAATACCTTCCCAGCCGCTGGATGTGAGTCACACATTTAGAGCTATTTAAACATTGAGACTGTGTGGAATAATTGACCCTGAAATTATGAATTTGAACTTTCTTTTTGCCTTAATAGTAAAGAATATAACCAGGCTGGTGGCACATACCTGTAATCCCAGTACTTGGGAGGCTGAGGCAGGAGGATTGCTGCATGTTCAAGGCCAGCCTGAATTACAGAGCAAGATCCTGTCTCAGAAAAGTAGAGAATATAAAAGTTTATGGGGCGGGGTGCTTATGAAACATTTGTCTCTCAAGAGGATTCATAAAGCTGTGAGCTTCTGTTTTGAGAAATTAGAGAAAATGTCATTCATTTAGCATTCACATATTAAAATGGCAAGTCAATTATAGAATAAAAGTATGATCCATCAGTACTTTAGTTTTTCTCGAGTTTAAAGAGAAAATTAGCTACTCTTTTCTTATACTGATCTTATGAATAAGATATGGGCCATAGTTCTTGATAGTGATTGTTGGAATCTTTGGGTCTGTGACAATGCGTAGTTTGTTTTTTGTTTTTTGTTTTGTTTTTGAGACAGGGTCTCACTAAGTAAGTCATTGAGACCGACCTGGAACTCACTATGTAGTCCAGGCTGGTCTCAAACTCACAGCGATCCTCCTGCCTCAGCCTCCCGAGTGCTGGGATTACAGGCATGTGCCACCACACCCGGCGACAGCGCGTAGTTTGAATGCTGTCATCCTTTCCTTGTTATACTTAAAGAGGTTGAGAAAGCTGCTGTAACTTCATATTAAATAGAATATTTAAAATGAAAAAGTAATCAATCATTGTACAATAGTTGATATTTTGTTTTAATGTACTTTGTGCAATGAAAAATTCACAAAAGAATGTCAGCCAAAAAAGCTCACAGTTCAGAATAGTGGGGAGGACTCAGGAATACATAAAATACTGTTTTAAGTGCATTTAGGAGTCTTTCCTGTGGCCTTGGGAAACTCAGTGTTAGTTGCATTTGTCATCTTATTACTTCTCTCCAGAGAATGGTAAAGTGGTGATGTGTTAAATTTGAGTTCAGCTGTGTAATTCTTGTTTGTGCCTTAGAATAAGCAGTTTATTTTCTGTGATTTAAGAGAGTCTGTAAAATGTCCATCGTGTTTCAGACTAGTAATGTTTTATTATACACATTTTACTCTATTAGTCTATGTGAAGTGTTACATGTTGATATGATGGTATAGTTTGTATATCAATACACTTAAATTTTTAGATAAGCTACTTACCTGAAAAATTACATTTAAAAAAATTATTTAAAGTGTAAGAAAGGTTTAAAAAAAATTTTTTTTTTTGGTACCGGGGATCAAACTTGGGTCCTTGCATTTGCGAGGCAGGTGGCAAAACCACTGAGCCAAGTCCCTGGCCCAAAATTTTTAAACTTAAAAAATACAAAGTTTTCACCAGGCATGGTGATGTACTCCTGTAATCCCAGCAGTCGGGAGGCTGAAGCAGGAGGATCACTGTGAGTTTGAGACCACGCTGGGCTACACAGTGAGTTCCAGGTCAGTCTCAACTACATAGTGCGACCCTGGCTCAAAAAAACACAACAAAACGAAAACAAAAACACAAAGTTTTCAAGTTATGCAGTATGATAATTAAAATTTATATTTAGAGAAAGTAGTCCAAAGATTTGAACTAGTGTTCTGGTTTACAATAGTGGAATTATGCATCTTTAAATTCTGTAATTTCTAATTTTTTAAAATCTGTGCAGTGAATAGTAAAAATTTGTTAAGTTACTCCAAATTTCATATGTGTTTATTTTCTTTTTCTTAAGGCGTCAGCTTCTGGTGATGTGAGCTGTGTAGATGAAATTCTTAAAGTAAGTTTTTTTTAAAGCCTTTTCAACTTTTATTTACTTATGATACTCTGACCCTTTCTTACTCTCCTTCCACCTGTTTCACAAAGGATCTGAAGCAACAGATTGGTTTTATGTGTAACTTCATTGTTTGCATCATAAAATAATTGTTCTCCTTGCGCTTAGGTTCTGAATCACATAATTTATTTACTGTTTGCCTTCAAAAATTGACTTTGTTTTTATGTAAAACAAATTCTAATCTTAGCAGTTTCCTTTGAAAAGAGGAAGAAACCAGATACTTTCTCAGGTTTATCAGTCAATAATTTCAAGCATTAAAAAACTCAGTAGTTATCATTCAAACCATTAAGTTGAAACTGGCTGGCTCTGTGGTTCATCTATCCATACTAGTGAAATCTTGCATTGAAGGGGCTCTTCTGAATACTGAATATTTTGAATGTTTATTGCATACATTTTAAATCTGGACATGACCAAAAAATTACGTTCCTCTGCTGGATGAAAAAAACTTCTGTTGGAAAGAAAGTACAGTAAATTGGGGAGTGACAATGATTACTTTTTTGCTCAGAGGAGAAAACTGTCATATATTACTATAACTTTTTGGGGTGGCAGGTGAGCTCCTGAATTTTTATTTGTACTTGAATTTCACTTTTTTTGAGACAGGGTCATGCTCTCTACTTCAGGCTGTCCTTGAGCTCACTGTGTAGCCCAGGCTGGCCTTGAACTTGTAGCAGTCCTCCTGCCCTAGCCTCCCAAATCCTGGGATTATAAGGGTACAGCACCATGCCCAGCTTTCACTATGGATTTTTGAGACTACCTGCTTCAGCCCTTTTCGTCCATTCTTTCGTTCAGTGAACTACTGTCTCTCTTTCCTTCTACCATTTTGCTTATTACCTTTTCCTTTACAATGGGGGTTTAATTTAAGCTCCCCCTCCCTTTTCAGTACTGGGGATCCAACCCTGGGCCTCATACATGTGAGGCAAGCCTCAAGCATAATCTTCCTGCCTCAGCCTCCCTGAGTAGTTGGGATTGCATGCCACTGTACTGGCTTGAGTTATTTTCTTTATGGCCCTTGTTGTTTGATCGTTTTAAAGTTTCTTCTTTTCTTGACTATTGTTATGCTTTGTTGTTTTTATTTCCTATCCACCTTGCTTGCCAGCTTGTTCTCTGTCTTTTTGCAAGCCTCTGGCCTCTCTTAACTTTTAAGTAGGAGTGTATTCTAGTCTGTTTTTTTCTGTACTATAACTTAACTCTTGCCGCCTTCCTTGGCTTTATCTGTTAAATAGCTCTCAGTTTTTCTCTCCTGCCTTGACTTCCTTTGGGTTTTTGTTTATGTCTCTGAATTGCTCCTTAACTGGGTTTCCATTTGAGTTTCAGGCTACTTCTTCGGACTCTCAGTGTATAAAGTCATAATGTTAGTAGTACCATCATTCTCCCATGCTTATGTAAAATCCTCATTATATCTTAACTTAATCCTGTCATATTCTCTTTAATCATAAAACTAGGTATGGACTTTCAAATTTCATTGGATATATCTTCCTTTCTTTTGCATTTCTGCCATCTTGAGCTTTAATAATTTTAACAGTCCTCTTTCTGTCTTCCATGTTATTCTGTTCGTCTGTCTTTTCCATTGTTTCCACATTCTTTAATCCCTGGTCTTCATAAATTAATTTTTTTCTCTTAAAATTTTTAGTGGCTCTCTTAGATCCCTAAAAACAAAGAATGTCGAGATTGAACAGTCTAGACCCTCCACAGGCCAATACTAACTTTCCCTACTACTGATTGACCACTTTTGCTGAATTGGTTTCCGTAAACCATACACTCAACAGTTTTCCCTGCCCCTACTCCCTTCCCAGGTACTGGGGATGAAACACAGGACCTTCACACTGAGCTACATCTTCAGACCTTTTTTTTGCTTTGAGACAAGGTCTTGCCAAATACTAAGTTGCCCAGTCTGGGCTTGAACTTGCAATTCTCCTGCCCCAGCCTCTCAGAGTGCTGGCATCACAGGCACACACCACCCTGCCTGGCTTCTTTTACTTCCAAGAAGTAAACTTTTTTGGAGTGTTTTTCCTTTCTCCTCAGTAATACAAAGATTTTCTTTTTCCTTAGACTCCAGTGAAAACCGTCTTCCTCCCTCACAGTGATAACTGTTTCCGTTAATCTTGTAACATTTTTTTTAGGTACTATGTATCTGAAATCTAAGAGAGCGTTGTACCTTTCCTCCTGAATCCTCAGTAATGCATGGGAGTTTAATACCTGAAAGATTTTCTTGTATTTAATTATCTCTTTGATGTTGCTGACCATTTATTTCACATTTTCTATACACAATGCTTGGTACGCAGCCTTGATGGTAGAGAATTAAAGTATGTTTTCAGTTGGGAGAGTATTGTGTTTTTGAGATGGAAAATGCCAATGCTAAAACCCTGGGGTACGTGAGTTTCCGTTTGTTTTCCTTTTCCCTACGCCCAGTCTGCAAGAAACTTCAGATCCACATTCCCTTTGTGTTTTCTTGTTTTTATTTTCATGATTTGTAGTAATACTGTTTCTAGGAACCCCATTAGGAATGTAAAAGAAATTTTAATCCACTGTTTTATTGAAAATTTTTTTCTATTATTTCAAAGCATGCTAAGTAAATAACTATTTTCTGCCGAGCACTGGGGATACGCTGCACACTTGGAGTGGACCTTCTCAGCCTGGGTGTAGGAAATAATTAGAGCAGTGGAAGAGAGTGAAGGGCAGTTTCTGTGCAGATGGCCGTTTTAAGTGATTCTAGTACATACTGTGTCATGCCCTGGTCTCTTCTTTCTGTTATTCTAGTGCCCAAAGGAATCCACTGTTAATCGACCTCCCAGAGACATTTTCATATATACACATTTAGTAGGACATAGACTATGATTTGTGATTGTCATCTAACAGTATACTGTGGACATCATTTCATATCAAGTTAAATTTCTCTCATTTTAATGTCTGCTTGCTGTTCCATTATATGGATGTCTGCTAATATATTTAATTGGTTTATATTCTTAGGTATTTCCATTTTTTAAATGTGAGCCCTTGAAATGTATATTTCCATATAACTGTAGTTATCACTGTAGGATAAATTCCTAGGCATTATAAAACACCTTTAATTTACATGATGGCTTATTTTGGATTAAATGCCAGAAAGAAAAAGTTTCTTCCTTTTTCTGAGTCTGATACCTCTCTCTCTGCTACTTTTCTGACATACAGTAATCTAATCTAAACCCCACTTGGGCATATTTGGCATGGTTAGACAGAAAGCATTAAGTGAAATTGGAGTTAAGGTCTTGCTTGTCTGTTTTCCTCCTCATATGCTTTTGAAGTCTCTCTTCTGAGTTTCTTACCTGGCCCGATTTTTCTGTTAGCACGTGTGCTCTGTAGCCAGTCTTTCTAGGATGAAATTTTGTGCCCGTTATTTACTAATTGAGTAACCTTGAATAAATTGAACCTTTATGCTTCATTCTCATCCTAGGTAGATCTAGGTAGTGAGGCTGTTTGTGTCATAATGGCATTGTGAGTACTGAATGAGCCACAAACGTGTAAATCGCTGGTCCATTGACACCGCGGTAGGTGCTGGCGGTTCCCATATCCCTTTCCTCCGTTCTCCTAGCCGGCTCTCCTTAGTAGTAGTGCTTTATTTTGAGCCTCATAAATGATTGCAGGCTGATACTATTCACAGATTTCATCATCCTGACTGTAAACTCCTTGAAGCCAGGGAGTATTTATTTTTTAACCTTCCTTTAATTACCAGCCCCGTAGTGCCTTGCACCTAGTTGTGCTTTGCCAGTACGTACTGACTAAATATAATTTTGGAGGATCGATCAGAAAAGCAGTATTTATAAGTGCAGATCTGGCTTTTAGCTGTATAGTCTGTTGTCCTTGACCTGGTTGAAAACAAACTGTAATAATTACATTTCAGGAGATGACGCACTCATGGCCGCCCCCTCTCACGGCTATTCACACACCATGCAAAACAGAACCTTCCAAATTTCCTTTTCCAACTAAGGTAAGTGAATAAAGTGTGTCTTTGGTAATGTAAGAAAAGCTCAAAATGGCTCAGTTAAAAGCATATAAGACTAAAATTGTCGTTCCCATTCTAGTGGGAAACGGACTGTAAATTTAACAAATATGTAAATAGATAAGTTCAGATAGCAACGACGATTATGAAGAAATTTAAACAGGGTAATGGAATCAATAGCATTTTGGGCTGAGAGGTACTTAAGAAAGATTAGAAGGTAATATGGAGAGAGACTTTAAAAAAAGAATTGATGTTTATTGCAAACTTATGGTATCGGAGGTTTCAGGGGCTTCTTAAACTTTTCTTTGAGGAGGCTCTTAGAAATCAGCAGCCATACAGTGGCCATGGAAAGAGGTTTCTTAAACAGCAGTTGTTAGTGCATCTAAAATCAGCGGATTTTTAAAACTTAATTTATACAACACTTACATAAATAGTTTGACCACGAACCTTAATAATAGCTTTTCCCAAATCTTGCCCCTTTCTCACCTGAGCTTTTATATGTACCTTTGCAAATCCTTTTTACATGCATCTATATGGAATTTTATGTAGAGAGTCATTACATATGTGTTTTATTTCTATACAGATATATTCTGTATCATTAATCATTCAGCAGTAGTTGTGGAGACCTTTCCATATTACTACACACCGATCTTTTATTTATTTTAACTTTATCGTTATATAAATATCCTAGTTTATTTAGTCATTTCTCTTTGGCATTTAAGTTGTTACCAAGTTTTTAGTTCTTGAAACATTTCTTTAGTAGTTATCTTTGTTCATACCTTCTTGTGTGGGTGTGTGTTTTTTGTTTGTTTGTTTTTGTCTTGTTTTGTTGTAGTACTGGAGATTGAACTCAGGGTCTTCACACTGAACTACATCCCCGGCCCTATTTTCTTCTTTTTCTTTCTTTTTTTTTAAGGCAGGGTCTCACTAAGTCACTGAGTAGCTGAAGCTGGCGTGAACTTGTGGTCCTCCTGCCTCAACCTCCCAGAGTGCTGGCATTACAGGCATGTGCCACCATACCTGATCCTGACATTTCTTTAGGGTGTGAAACAAGAGTATTGCTGATATGTAATGAGTATACATTATATTCAGCATGTACTCTCCAAGTCCCTCTGTAGTCACACTACAGGATTTGTAGCAGTCAGTAATTCCACATGTAGTACCTATTATTCCACATGTGCGTACCACAATTTGGTATTAGTAAACACCAATCTTTTGAGGGAAAAATGTCATTCTTCTTGCTGGATTGCTAGTAAGGGCCATCATCTTTGTACATTTAACATCCATTTGATTTGGGGGCTGTCTTAAAATTTAAATTTTTATTAGTACATATTTGTAATACATAATTACATTTATTGTGAGAAGTTGGTACATACACATAACACAGTTTAATTCTTTTTACCAATTAGATTCTTTATGAATCTGCCTATTCCTGTTGTCATTTGGAGTGCATCTTGTACCTAATGACTTTAGGAAGACTTCTTTTTTGGTTTTGTGTTGTTTTAATTCTAGATTCTAATAATTAGTTATTTCAAATACATCTCCCAGTTAGATTCTTGTATAAGTTTTATGGTCTAGAATATTTTAATTTTGATAACTATAATATATTCTTTTATTTAGAGTGTTTGCTTTAACATCTTATTAAAGAAGGCTCGTCTTTCTCCAGGATCATAAACATACCCTCATATTTTTCTTTTAATGTGGTTTTAGTTCTGGTTGTTTTGTTTTTTGAGACTGGATTTCACTATTTAGTTCAGACAAGCCTTGAACTCATTATGTAGCCCAAGCTGGCCTCAAACTCATGGTGATCCCTCCTGCCTCAGCCTCCAAGCGCTGGGATTACAGATGTGCACCACTGTGCTGGGCTCCAGCTAGAGTTTTATCATTTGGATTCCTGGAGTTTTTTGTTTTTTTTTTTTTTTCTTCCTATTTCTTCTTTCTTTGATTTTTGCTTTTATTGTGATTATTTCTTTTTATTTCTATTTTTAAGGTAGAAGCTTGTAACATTGTACACATTGTTTTCTAATATAGGTATTTAAAGTTATTTCACTGAAGTCCTGTTATAGTTGAATCCTATAAATTTTTTATGTTTTATTTTTTATTTTATTTTGAGACAGGATCTCACTATGTAGTTGAGACTGACCTGGAACTCACTGTGTAGCCCAGGCTGGTCTCGAACTCACAGTGATCCTCCTGCCTCAGCCTCCCAAGTGCTGGGATTACAGGCGTGCGCCACCATGCCCAGCAAATCCTATAAATTTTTATGTAATGTCTTTATCATATTCGGTGCAGTGGACTTTTCTAATTTTCTGTGATATCTTTGATCCATGAGTTACATAGAAATATGTGGATTAGGGCTGGGGATTTGGCTCAGTGGTCCTGCGGCCTGCCTCGTAAGACACAAGATCCTGAATTCAATTCCTGGTACCAAAAAAAAAAAATGTGGATTTGTCCTCAAATATTTGATGAGTTTTATGATATTACTCCCAAGTGGGGATTACAGGCGTGCGCCACCATGCCCAGCAAATCCTATAAATTTTTATGTAATGTCTTTATCATATTCGGTGCAGTGGACTTTTCTAATTTTCTGTGATATCTTTGATCCATGAGTTACATAGAAATATGTGGATTAGGGCTGGGGATTTGGCTCAGTGGTCCTGCGGCCTGCCTCGTAAGACACAAGATCCTGAATTCAATTCCTGGTACCAAAAAAAAAAAATGTGGATTTGTCCTCAAATATTTGATGAGTTTTATGATATTTTATAATTAACTTCTAATTTATTTGTTTTTTTCTAGACAGTATATGTTGTATAATTTGTTTTTGTAAGCTTATTGAAATTTGTTGTATAGCACTGTATGTAACTTTTTTACTTACTGTTTTATAGTACCAGATACTATCTGTATAGCTCATGTCAACGTTATTGAGAGTCCGCATAGCTCATCAGTCGTGTGTATTTTACTGACTTCCTACTTGTTCCACCAGTCACCGAGCGGAATCTTGACATCTTGTCTTTATGGATTTGTCTCCTTTTTCCCTTTCAGAAAATTTTGTCAGTTTTTGCTTCATGTGATTTGAAGTTTTATGATGAAGTTCCTACCTGCACATTTAAGATTACTGTGTTTCTGTGCCGAATCGGTCCTTTTCATCATCTTGAGATGGCCATTTTTATCTCTGCTATCAATGTTGATTATGAAGTCTACTTTTTCTCATACTCATTTAGCCACTCCAGGTTTCTTTGAATTTATTATTAGTCTGCTTTGCCATTTTTTATTCTTTTAATCTGTGCCTTTGAATTTAACCAGCCAGCCAACCTCCCTTCCTGTATACCTTCCTTCTTCTTTCTCTTTCTCCTCACCTCCTTTTTTTCTTTTTCCAGTACCCTTTTAAATTTTGAGACAGGGTTTCACTAAATTGCTGGCTGGGCTTAAACCTGTGCTCCTCCTGCCTCAGCCTCCCCAGGGTATAGGGATTACAGGTGTGCAGCGCCATGGCTTGTATTTGCTCATTGATTTTCAGTTATTTTTTGTGTGCACCGTGTGGTGGGCGTCCACAGTTGTTACGCATGTGCATCTGTAGTGGCTCTCATTGTTAAAGTTTGCTCTTCCCCATTAAATTGTTTTGGCTCTCATGTTGACAATCAGTTGAGTGTAAATATGAGGGTTTATTTCTGAGGTTTGACTTCTGTTTTGTTGAACGTCAGTTTTATTTTTTTGAGACAGGATCTCATAATGTTGTTTAGGTTGGCCTTGGATTTGAGGCGATCGTCCTGCCTCAGCCTCTCCTGAGTGCTGGGATTACAGATATGCACCGCTATGCGTGGCACTATTCTTTTAAATAGTTTCACGAAGGCTTTTAATTCAACAAATGGCATATATTTAAATTATACAGTTTGACAAGTTGCATCATATGTATATAGCCATAAAGCCATCACCATAATCAAGATAATGAACCTCAGAAGTTCTGAACAGGGCCGGGATTTACCTCAGTGCTGCCTGCCTGACAAGCACAAGGTCCTGAGTTCGATCCCTGGTACCAAAAAAAAAAAAGGAAAAGAAAAAGAAACTTGAGAAGTTCTGAACATACTAGAATAAACTTCCAGAAGTTTCCTAATGATTGTGCATAATCATCTCCTCCCTTCTGTTTTCTATCCCTAGGCAACCACTAATCTGAGTTATTTTTTGTTTATACATATGTTTATACAGTTTAAAATCAGTAGTAAAGATACGTGATTTACAAATAGTACACAATACACAGAGCTGTGTATCATAAGTTCCATATAGTCAATTGTATGTTAAAAATGCTTTCTCCAAAGTTTTCCCGAATTCATACCGACATGCAGTTTATGGTTGCAGCTCAAACATGATTTGACAAATGGAGTTTCATTCAGGTTACTTACTTCCCAATAAATGTATTTTCATGAAACCAGAAATGTGATCCTATTATCGTTCATGTTTGTATAAATTTTACTCACTAACTGGGATCTCTTTCAGTTTTAGCACTATCTAGTGGAACTTCACTCGTTCATCGAAGAGAGGAGTGACTTTGCTGAATTGGACGTGTGTGTGTGTGTGTGTGTGTGTGTGTGTGTGTGTGTGTGTGTGTGTGATCAAATTCAGGGCCTTGTGCTTGCAAGGCATGCGCTGTGCTGCTGAGCTAAATCCTTGGCCCTGATAATAGTTTTTAAATAATTGAAGAACATCTCCTTAGTGGTTCCTGTTACTCATCACATAATGGCTATAGACAGTGCCACATTTTCAAGTTTAATCTGCATTTTTAATCACCTTTTTTTTTTTTTTGAAACAGGGTCTCATGTAGTTGAGACTGACCTGGAAGTCTAAGCTACATCTTCAGTCCTGTTTAACTTTTTTAAAAAAGCACACTGCTTTTAAAAGTGGTCGGACCAGTCTGGGGATTTAGCTCACTGGTGCTGCACCTGCCACAGAAGTGCAAGGTCCTGAGTTCAGTCCTAATACCCAATGGTTGGACC